CCTCCATCTGCTCCTTCCGTGTGCAGTACATTTTTAAAGTGAAATGTATTCACATCCCTACAAGCTAATGAATACTTTGTAGTCTATACTAATACTTTAGTGGATGCTGGACAAGTTGAGATGTTAAGCTTTTTAGGAGGAATGAATGATGGCTAATGATTATTTAATGGCAGATCTCGGGACTGAAAGGCACTTAGCACTCAAAATATACTGCAAAGTCTATTTCTCAGGGCTTCAGACAGGTTTATTTGGTCTCACCTTGAAGGGAGCGCTGCTGTATTGATTTAATTGGTGAGGATTTAAATATGCTATTGGCTTAGAATAGGACCAACTGCAGCAGAAAAACCAGTGCCTTTAAAACATAGGGTTACTGCAAACTACCATGAAAACATTGTGGCTCCAGCTATTTGCAAAAAGAAAAATGTGCTTGTTTTAAAGCACAGCTCATGTTTGACTGTTGGTCAAAAGAGAATGAAATACAAATAAAATTATGGTTACATTAGAAAATCTTTTTAATCTGTATTGGTATATATCAGTGGTATCAAACTCAAGGCCTGGAAGCCGGATCTGGCCTGTGGGGTGTTTAGATCTGGCCTGCGGGGCCATCCTGGAAAAAGTGAAGGACTGGTCCGCGATGCCTCTCCAGGGAAAACGGAGCTCGGGAGGGTTGCAGGTGGCCGTTACAGCTGAAAATGGAGCTCGGGAACCCATTTTCCCTGATAGAACTCGGGCCCCCACAGGTGCCTCTGACAGGAGTGACATCAAGCTGGCCTTGCCCGCTCTGGCCACGCCCCTCCCCCGCCAAGGTCAAACTCAACGAAATCAAGTTTAACTCCCTGGTATATATAGTTGGATTATCGACTGAGTCATAAGTTTGCTTCACCAGAAGTAGGTCCCTCTGCACAGCAGTAGTCAAGCAAATCCCTAGAGCCTCCAGTTGCTATTTGGTTTTATCAAAGGATATGAGGGAATGGTTTAGTGGTTAAAGTACTAGGCTAGAAAGCAGGAGACTGAGTTCTAGTACTGCCTTAGGCATAAAAGTGAGCTGGCTGATTTATGGGCCAGTCACCCTCTCTCAGCCCAACTCACTTCACTAGGTTGTTGTTATGGGGAAAATAGGAGGAGGAAGAAATACTATATTCACCACCTTGAGTTACTTATAATAGTAATAAAGGCAGTGGAGAAAAAAATCTAAATCAATGTCCTACCTGTCAATGACTACTTCAGCTTCAGTCATAACAACACACGAGCACACAATAGATACAAACTCAAAGTAAACCACTCCAAACTCAATTGCAGAAAATACGACTTCAGCAACAGAGTGGTCAATGCCTGGAATGCTCTACCTGATTCCATTGTTACATCCCCAAACCCCCATAATTTTAACCAAAGACTTGTCTACTGTTGGCCTCACCCCATTCCTAAGAGGTCTGTAAAGGGCGGAGGGGTGCATAAGCGCACCAGCGTGCCTACCATCCCTGTCCTACTGCCTCCATTTATTCGTACTCATTTACGGTGTTCATATTTATGTTTATACTTATACCCGTTATCTTTTACATGTTTGACAAACTAAATAAAATATAAACAAATAAATAAATCCACCAATCCATCAAATCAAAAATCAAAATTATCTCTCCTGCATTCCATCAATAGAACTATGAAGAACTGACCATCAGATTTCCATCCAGAGAGTGTTTCCTAATAGGAGCATAGCACTGTGAACCAAACCGAAATAGGGAACCATGAGCATATTAAACCAACATGAAATGTTAAAATAAAATCAGTATCATCTCTAAACGTTCTGGAAAGGGTGATCTTGTGTATAAGAACGAACATCTCGTGTATTGATGCTGTTTTTTTCTTTAATTTTATTGACTGGGTGATGCAAAATAGAGGAAAGCAGACACAAGCATCCACAAAATAATGTATTTCACACATTCTAATATGTACATGTTACATTTTTTTGTAACTATGGTGGGGTGTCCTTTATCAAGTGCACACAGTGAATGACGAAGTGCAGTTTTATCTGAAAAAGTAGCATAACAGAAATCTTAGCACTTCACAGATGACAAAGCAGTAAGCTTCCAGGACTTCAGGTCAGTGGATAGTGTTACATCTGTATAAATAATTAAAAGGCAAATAGCAATGCCTTTATGTAGACTTAATGCATTGAATCTCTGATAAGCTAATATCTAGGATTCCCAGTTCATCAGTGTTAAAAATGGAAATGGAATGTCCTTCTCCCCCCCCCCCCGAAAGTTCAAAACCTTACACTTTTATGAGAAATAGGAAGAAGACAGATCAAACAGACTTCAAACTATACAGCGTGGAAAAATATCTCCTTTAATTATTTCATTTAGAAATACTTATTTCCTGATTTTAAGTATATATAGATGAAGTTGTGCATGTAATCCAGGGGTAGGTTCCTTCCAGTTCTAACCTCTTCTATAGAAGAGGTTCCACAAATCTACAGTGCCATTTAGAACCAGTTTCAGCTCCCTCCCCCCCGTCTATCCACACATCATCAAGATGAAGAGCGAGAGGAGGAATTCTGGGATTTGAAGTCCACAAGTCTTAAAGCTGTCCAGTTTGAACTCCCCTGGGTTTTTTTTCTAAAGGGTTAGGGATGCAAGGGTCATGTAACTTGACAGCTTTAAGACTTGTGGACTTCAAATCCCAGAATTCCTCCTCTCGCTCTTCATCTTGATGATGTGTGGATAGACGGGGGGGAGGGAGCTGAAACTGGTTCTAAATGGCACTGTAGATTTGTGGAACCTCTTCTATAGAA